AGCCTCTATTAGACCCGACATGCCCTTAATTTGGGACCATATACCCCCATTTGAGGGTACTTGGAGGGTCCTGGTATACTAATTTGGGAATTCCTTATTATGCTTCTTGTGTAATATACCCCAAAATCCTATTCTAATATTAAGGCCCCTGTATTAGCTGCATTTTAAACCCCAAACCCCAAAGATCTCAAACAGTGCAAAATTGCTATCATCATAAACACCGAAGAGACAAATCCCATGAATCCTAACTTTCACTATAGAATCCGTATGCAACCCAAAGAAAACCCTGAAGACATCCAATCACCCCGTTACGACCCAGTGAAATCCTTTCAAAACTCACACAACCTTGATCAAGTCCTTGAAACCCCGCCTGATACGCCCACGGCAGGTGGCGCTGTTCCAGCGAATCGCGGACCAGTGCTGCGAGCAGTTGGCCTCGTCCGGTGCTCGGTTTTGAGCGTTCGGGGTTTAGTGTTTCCGGCGTGTAGCGAATCCTTGGGGGCTTTATAAGGAGCGGGAATAAAGGGCTTTGCAGGGTGTTACAGGCCTCCACGTTTTCGTCTCATGGCGTAAGCTGGGAATCATTAAGAGGGTATAGGGTGCAGGGGGTCAGGGGCAAACTTAAAAGCCTAAACTAATCCCTTAACCCCAAAAGCCCTAAAACCCTAAACCCCTAATGTCCTGCTTTCAAACCGAACGCCGTCGCCGTCTGCCGTCCAAGGTCCTAAACCCTGAACCTAAAGCCCTAAAGCCCTAAAGCCCTAAAGCCCTGAAGCCCTAAAGCAGTAAAGCCCCAAAGCCCTAAGCCCTAAAGCCACTTAGCCCTAGACCATGAAACCATAATTCCTTAGGGTTCCGGATTAATTAGAACTGTACAAGAAAGGCTTTAGGCTTAGGGGGTTTAGGGTTTAGGGTAGTTTAGGAATCCTGTACCCTAAACCTTAAACCCTAAACCCTAAACTCTAAACCCTAAACCCTAAACCCTAAACCCTAAAACCTAAACCCTATACTAGACTGCCGTGGCCGCATTCCCAGGCCATTAGACCTGGGGCCTCCGTGCAG